TTCAACATAATGGAACACGGTAATAATCCAGCCTCGATAAATAATATTAAATGATATTTATGAACGGATAATTGGAGTCGAGAGTGTTCCTCGCTATGCGCAGAATCATATATGACCATAAGATATACTGTCAATATGATATACTGTCAGAATGAATGTCGAAAATTTTGAATTTCCATATGGAAACCTCATTCCATGTACAGGAACTTCGTAATAATTTAGGGACGACAAATGATACTAGATGATTGCTTGTGTACAAAGAAATGGTATTCATAGTGAAACCCACTATGCGTAGAAAAACATAAAACTATCAGATCGATATGAGATATTGACAGAATGAACATCGAACATTTAAACCAGACATATGGTAACCTCATACTACAGAACGGAACGCCGTATTATTTCAGGATCGCTAAATAACAATAGATGACATTTATGTACAATAAAATAGGTTACATAGTGAACCGCGCCATGCGTAGAATAATATAAGACAATCAGGTCAATATGACATATTGACAGAACGAATTTCGAAAATTTTGAAATGTCAAATGTAAACCGTACTCTATGTACAGGAACGCAGTAATACCTCAGGCCCAATAAATAGTGTTAGATGATGTTTATGTAGACGGGGTTCATAGAGATCCCTGCGAAGGGTAGAATAATATAAGGCAATCAGATCGATATGATATACTGATGGAAAGCACAACAAAAATTTTGAATGGTCATACGCAAAACTCATTCCACGTTCCGAACTCCGTAACATTTCAGGCCCGATGAATAATACTGGATGATATTTATGTAAAAAAGTGATGTTCGGAGTGAGCCCGGCGATTCGTAGAATAATGTAAGAGCATCAGAACGAATTATAATAAATAATATATTGACAGAATCAATGTCGAAAATTTTGAATTGTCATACCGACGTACCGGATGACCGGAAAATTTCAGGATGGGTAAATGATATTAGATCGCAGATATATTTTAAAAAATTGTTTTCATTGTGATACCCGCGATGCGCAGAATAAGACCATCAGGTCGGAATATAGATTGATAGCATGAATGCAGAATATATTAAATGATCATACATATGCTCCGATTCGTAACGGAGAAGCGTATTATTTCGGGGACGATGAATAATACTGGATGGTGGTCATATGTCAAAAAATTGTGTTCATTGTGATCCGGCGATGCAAAGAATAATATACGAAAATCTAATCGATGTGTTATATTGAAAGAATGAATGTCGAAAACTTTGATTGGTTATAAGCACTTATTTGTATAGCTGCATCGTAATATTTCAGGATCGATAAATAAAATTAGATTATATTTGTGTAGAAATAATTGTTTATCGTGGGCTCCGCGATACCTGGAATAATGTACATTCAGTTCTATATTATATTTTAACAGAATGAACGTCGAAAATTCTGATTCGTCATACGCCAGCCCATAACTGTGCCGGAGGAACGTAATAATTCAGCGTAGACAAAATAGACGATACTCATGCTGAAAAAAGTCGTGTTCATTGTGACCCCGCAATGTGTAGAATTATATAACACCATCAGATCGATATCATATATTACTTAATATTACAGGTTTGATAAATGAAATAAAGTGATATATATGTAGAAAGGAATGGTGCTCATTGTGACCCCGAGAGACGTAGAATAATCTAAGACCATCAGATCTATATGATATACTGACAGATTGAATGTAGAAAATATTGATGCGTCATATGTAAGACACTATCTGTGCAGGAGGACCGCCGTATTTCATGGTCGATAATAATATTAGATAATATTCATATACAAACAGTAATGTTCATAGTGATACCCATGATGCTTAAAATAACATAGAAAGAACAGATCGATATGATAAACTGACAGAATGAATGACGTAAATTATAATACGTCATATGAAAGCACCTGTCAGTTCTGGAGGTCCATAAAAATTCAGTGTGGATAAATAAAATTAGATGATATTTATGTAGATAAGAATGATGTTCATTACGATCACTACAATGCGTAAAATTAAGTAAGACCTTCAGATCGTCATGATATACTGACAGAATGAATGTCGAATATTTTGAATGACCATATGTAAGCCACGCACCTTACCGAATGTCCGTACTATTACGGGGTCGATAAATAATGCTGGATCAATAGGTAAAATGCTGGATCGATAAATAATGCTGGAGATAGCTAAAAAAAAATATAGTAATCCCCGCGAGGCGCAGAACAATAGAAAATCCTCAGAAAGAGATAATCTGCTGATAAAGTGAATGTAGAATATTTTGAATGGCCATATATAAACCCCGAAAGTTACCGGATGAGCATATTATTGCGAGAACATAAAATAATATTTGATCATATTTATATATTAATAGATTGTTTACATTGAGATTTCCGCGATGCGTAAAACAGAATCAGAACATCAGAGCGACATAATCTTTGATAGAGTGAATGTAGAAGGTTTTGAATCATCATATGTGAACACCATTCTGTACCGGTGGATCGTATTATTTCGGAGACGATAAAAACATTGGATCGTCTTTATACATTAAAAAATTGTGTTTATTGTGATCCCTGGATGCGCAAAATGATATACGTCTCCAGATGTAGAAAAAATATTGGTAGAATGATGTAGAATACTTTAAATGATCATATGTAAATCCTGTTCTAACCGGTGTGGCGTACTATTTCGGGGACGATAAAAAAACATCGCCGTTATAATTTAAAAAATTATATTCACTGTGATCCCAGCGCTGCGAAGAATAATATAACACAATCAGAGGGAGATAATCTACAGATAGAAAGAACGTTGAATTATCATATGTAAGCCCCGATACGCACAGGAGGAGCATATACACACTTCGGAGACGATAAATAACACTAATTCGATTTAAGTATTAAAAAAATTTTTCATTGTGATTCTCTCGACGCGTAGTATAATATAAGAGCATCAAATCATGATAATCTATTGAATAATGAAGAATATTTTCAATGAACATTTGAAAACCCGATTCGTACCAACGATTCCAAATCGTTGTTTTATATTTAAAAACTAGCTCATTTTTAACCCGCTATGTAGAATAATATGAGATCATTAGATCGATGTAATATAATAATATAATGAATGTAGAATATTTTGAATAATCATATCTTATATACGATCCTTACCAAAAGAGTATGGTGATTCAAAATATTCTGCATATACTCTAATCATAGTTTATCTCCCTCTGATGGTCTTCTATTATTCCATGCATCGCGGAGATCAAAATGAACACAATTTTTTAATATACAACGACGATCGGAGGAGCATACATTTTCAGGGACAATAAATAATACTAAATCGTGTTTAAATTAAAAAGGTCAATCATCTTCATACGCGCGATGTGTAGGATAATATAAGGCCATTATGTCGATATAATAAATTGACAAAATGAATGTAGATTTTTTTGAATACCATGTTTAAGTCACGAACGGTACCGGAGGATCGTACGTTTCGGTGACTAAATAATATTGGATAATTTTTTTATATTAAAGAACCTGATCACTGTGATCCCCGCGAAACGTAGAATAATAGAAGATCATCAGATCAACATAATATATTCATAGAATAAATGTAGAATTTTTTGAACAATCATATGTAATCCTCGATCCGTACCGAAGGGGCGTATCATTTAAGTGACGATAAATAATGCTACATCGTTGTTTCATAGTAAAAAATACGTTCATTCTGACAGCCGATGAGTAGAATATTATAGGACCATAAGATCTATAATATATTTTCATAGAGCGAATCTAAAGTATTTTGAATTATCATATATATAAGTACCGATTCTTATCGTATGATCGTATATTTTTTGGCCGATAAATAATATTGGACCGTCGTTATATATCGAAAAATTGTGTTCATGGTGATCCCCGCGATCCTTAGAGTAATATAAGAACATCTGATCACGATTTTATTTTAATAGAATGGATGTAGAATATTTTGAATGATCATATGTAAGCTCCGACATGTACAGTAGGAGCGTATCATTTTGGGAGCGGTAAATAATACTGTATCGTCGTAATATATCAAGAAATTATGTTCATTTTGATCCCTGCAATGTGTAGAATAAAATAAGACCATGCGTTGGAAGACAATTAATCAACAGAGTGAATGTAGATTATTTTGTATCATCCAATGTAAGCCCCGATCCGTACCAAAGGAGTGTATTATTTCGGGGATGATAAATAATACCAAATCATTGTTTTATATTTAAAAATTTCTTCATAGTGATCCTCGCGATACGTAGGATAATATAAGACCAACATTTCGAGGTTATCGATTGATAGAGTAGTTGTAGAATCCTTTGAATCATATGTAAGTCCCAATTCGTATCGGAGGAGCGTAAAATGTAGTACTAACTCGTTGTTTTTGTCAAAAAAAAATTGTTCATTGTTACCGCCGCGATGCGTAGAATAATGTAATACCATCGGAGGAAGATAATCTACTGATAGATTCAATGTATTGGATTAGTGCATAATTGTTGCGCATTCTTTCGCAATATTTTGGTCTTTGAAAATTGACATTTTATTTATTTGTTTTCACAACAATAATCCTCTCTTTTCAGACAGTGAAAATGCGTATCGAAAATCATATTCATATTCGCCATATTATGTTCTAATACACTTCGAGAAAGGTTGGAATACAGCCCAGTCATTTCGCAATCTCAACGAACTTTTAGCGAAGGAACAATCGAGAGCCAAGTTGAAAAATGGAGTTCAAGAAGTTCAAATCGGGCGATACTCGCAGATGAAAAAAGAAGAGGTCGACCACCATATTTCGACGACCAGGCAATTTTGGCAGCCGTGGAAGAGGACGAAAGCTTGATAACTTGGATAACTTGGTGGCCGCCGTCAAAGAATGGATTGCCTCTAAAAATAGCAACTTCTTCGCCCGTGGAATTAACCGAC